TTTTTTTTTTTTTTTTTTTTTTTTTGAAACCAAAGCTGTCTCAGAAATGGCCAATTTAACTTTACAGTAACAATAGACAGCACAACACAAACTCTCTCAATACAGATAAACTCACACATACTGGAGATATATATAATAGATATATGTAAAATTATTTTAATGCATTGTAGTGTAATATTTATGCATACTATACTGTATAACATGTTATTCAAAAGGGATTGCCATTTCTGAGACACAATAACAAAAAATGTTTGAGGAAATTATTTTGCTTCTATTTATAGCCTCTGTCAAAAGTCAAAAGACTATAAATGCTTTGCAAAAATGGTTTCACGTTTGCTTAAATGCTTCATCACAGTCACATTCAAAATAGTGACTCTAAACAAAGAAGAAAGCAGCACTGTCATCAGATGCATGATAAACCAAAATATGAAAATGGGAAATGTTTAATTAACCTAGTAATTGGGTGGGTTAAGTACATGGGTGAATTTTATATGTGATTTTTGTTTTGTTTTGTTTTGTTCAGATTAACTGCTTATAGCCTTAGAAAGCCTTTTACAAAATTAAAAAAAAATAGATGTGCATTCAGTTTTTAAGAATGGAATCATCCAAAGGAATTCCTTTTTTTGAGGTTTGGATGTCGCAGCTAGTAAAGGATATTTTTGCTCTGTTCGGCAGTTCTAAAAATTGCTGAAGTAGGGGCCAGGTCACTGGTAGTTATAGTATGGAATGGGAGAAGTGAAAGTTCAGTTATAGAACTTTCCATACTTCCAAGTTTACTGCAAGTTTTTATGCTTGAGAGAGATGCTTTCTAATATAAGACTGATGTGTTGATTTTACTGATTGTACTGTACATCTATTAAAGCCTTAGATTATTACATTACGGGTTGGAACCCATACCAATGTAATTTCAATCGTGTTAAGAAAGTAATGGTGACTTCACATGTTATTGTAGTTAGTTACATTATAGAATATTACTTATTTTTCTTGTTAAAATGTAGTTTTTCATTTCCTACATTTATTAGATTTTCATTTTCTATTAACAATTGAATACCATTTCAGTTTATAGACTATTGTTTTATTAGATTTTACCGATGAATTTTTCAAAATACAAAAAAAAAGTAGTTTTTCCTTCATAACATACTCAGTTTTGAATTACATGTAGTGTCATATGAATATTCGTATTGTTAACTAAATGATTTATATTTTACTGATTTAATATTACAGTGTAAGAATGTCAGTCATTGTTAGTTCTTGTCTAGTTTTCATTAAAAGAACAAAGATCTTTTATATGGATATCTTATAAATATATAATCATTGCTAAGTAAGAAGTTAAGTTGTTGCTATCGCAACAATCCTGGCAGACAATTGAGTAATATTTTGATGATTTATTTTGTTTGTAATTAGTTATTATAAGAAGATCTAGATCCTAGATATTAGAATAAAATTTATTTTCTACTGTATCCATTTCAAATGTTAAAATATTGTTTAATATTTTTGAAATCCCTGAATATCAGGCCTTGTTATAAATAAGCTGCATAATCAATAAAGAACAAGGGACTTTTTGTTGATAATCCAAATACTCAAAGTTTACGTAATGAAAATTATAGCGTGTGTGCAAACTCTTGAGGGTTGATTATGCTGCAATTTAGCATGTTGGAACGTCTAGAGAGAAGGTTGACTTTTTGCACTTCTGTATATAGTCAAAAGAGAGAAACCTGTATAATAGTAAGATCTTATTTTGAATAAAAACGTCTATAATTACAAGGAGTTTTGTTAAGGCTAATACAATGACAGACTGAGCAAAATTGCTTGCAAAAGTGGCACAGAGTTAGCACTCCATACCCCTTCAAACATGTTGCTTTGCTTTCTTGTGGACAGCTTGTAGTTTGCCAGGATTTTTTCAGCTGGAAAGATACGCCATCCTTTCAAACCCTCATGACTGACAAAAACTCCATGGGGCCAAATCTGCCTGAAGATCATTACCAAAAATAGCAGGTACTTCTACCATTAAGGTGAAATCATGGATCAGATATTCCTTACATTTTTCAAAACTACTGCATGTTTAAAACTTCAACAAAAAAAGAGAGAAAGAACTATACTAAGAACATATATTATTCAGATCAGTTTCTGCCAATTTCAGTGGTTTATTGTTCACAAAAAAATCTTCAAAACGAGTATTGACTTTCACAAAATTTAAATCATAAACAGGCAAACCAAACAGCACACTGTAGCTATAGTTGTTATGTGATTGTTTTTTAATTGCTGTAGGATCCTGTTCTTTCAGCAGGTGAAAAATAAAACGCAGTTCAAATTTCACGGTTTTAATTTTCAACTCAGAAGCACTCAAAAATGCAAAATGTGATAATGGGCACTTGTTAAAAGAATTAGTGTATCCAGCCTTCACTCCAGCTGGTTAATAATGTTGCACTTATCAGCAACCCTACCACTTTCATCTGCTGAAAGGACAAATGTGCTTGGTTTTACTATTATGTAATCACAACTTACTTTCTGCTTGTAGTTGCTTAAAATTATGTATTTTGTCTTGGGCTGCAATTTGTTTTATGCTTATTTTATTATTACTGCGGTAGTTGACTTTGCTGTATGGAAAAATAAAGTGAAATTGCCCTAATAAAACTTCTCTTTCTTAAGTATATTTGTGTATCTGAGATTGAATACTAAATTATTTTTGCGAGTTTCATGTATTCATGAATATGTATCTTTACAAACATATTGATGTACAAGTTTGTTACCTGGTTTTAACTGATTGCAACTGCAAGGAAGGCGTTTGTTGTCTTTCTCACTAATTATCCTTTGATAATGAGAGAAAGAATCTAAATCAGGATATATTGCCATCCTGTGTCCAGTGTTTTCTGAAATTCTTGCCTTTCCCTGTCTGACACTTTAAGTGCCGATTGAAATAGTTTTAAGTGTCGGGGTGAAAAACGGTAAGAAAAAAAGTTATAGATCATGATCTTTTATTAAAGAAATGTTATTTGCCTGACTGCTGCATCTGCTGACTAGGACTGGAAATCAGGCAGTCCAAGAGAGATGATGGCACTGTATTCAGAGGGATAAAAGAATGTATGCATATGCACTATGAGCCAGGCCATGATATTACTTCTGAGGTGTGTGTATGTGTGTGAATTTCTTAAATGGTGGATTAAAAATTTTGTTGAAGTGGGTCCTGGCATCACATATAAGCTTTGCAATTTCTACAGATAGCCAGTGAATGCCAAAGTTTCAACATGAAGAACATGCACATTGTATCATTTAGTTCTACTTTATGCTGACTGGCACTTGGTATTTGGTCAAGGGTTACAAATGCTTATTTGTAGGCTGATGCCTTTTTTTCTAAAATTTATTGTAATAAAAATAGTCATAATCAATACAGTTCTGTTACTGGTTGAGTTCTAAAGGACAATTCTGTTATTTTCAGTAGGTCCAACTGTTCTGGGTGCCGCTTGTCAAAAAGAATGGCTGCCCTGAAGATGATAGTCTAAAGCCAGGAGTTCACAGCCTTTTTTGAGTAATATCAAGACATCTGGCTCTTCCCGTTTAGTGATATTTTGGAAATCTTTTCATTGAAAAAAAATTCAGTAACTAAAAGTTCTTGTAATTTTTGCGGCACTTTAAATGAAACTATTTTGTTAATCACAACAGCATATACATGCATCTGAAAAATTATTTTCAGAAGAGTTATTATTACAATGCCCACTAGGGGTCCTCAGCTCACAAAATGGGACTCTGTTAGAAGTCATTCGTTTTTCATTTGGAGAACAAAATCATTTGCTAGAGCTATTACTCCATCACATACCCTTGGTACTCATGGAATTTAAAGTTGGGAATGACACTAAAGGTGAGTAACATAGCAATCTATTATTTCACTGAGACATACTTTTGAATACCAGCTGCTTTCTTACAGGAACTAGTCACTAAAGCACTGGGGAGACATTGCAGTGGTTGAAGAAGGGCTCAAAAACCAGAACACCTGGAATCATGTGTCAGCTGTTTGACCTTGGCAAATTACTTCTCTGTGACTCAGTTTCCACTTTATAAGTACAAGAATATCAATACTGCACCATTGTTGAGTGGTTTCCAGACTTTGCTGCAAACTGGAATTATCGGGGGGATCTTTTAAAAGTATTGATACTTTTAAAATAAAACTCAATAAAAGTATCAATACTTTTATACAATCCCGCAGATGACTGGTTCCTACTAGCAGACATTCTGGTTTAATGACTGGAGGAAAGAACTGGGCTAACACATAAAAAGAGCTTAGAAAGGTGCTTGGTTTATAGCAAGTAATTGATACATGTTAACTATGATTGCTATTTATACATTTTAAAAATCAGTCCACTTATTCAACTTTTTCCTAGTTCTCGGATTACACATCCCTTTCAAAGTAGCCAGGTACACACTATCTCTATTCATTTATATTATCTGTAGTTTTATCTTTCCTGTTTAGCAATGAAACTATCTTCTAATTTACCACCACCGCAAATCCTGCTGTTACTTCGTGTGTAGTATTTCAAACCCAGAATCAAGTACTTTTTTATTAACTCTGAAAATTTTGTATAGTTCTTATTTCAATTTGATATGGTCAATCTGAAAATTTTGTTTCAGACAATCTGAAAATTTTGTATAGTTCTTACTTCAGTTTGATATGGTCACAGACACCACCTAGCCCATTTAGACCCAATATGAAAGTAACCATTTAGGCATATCTAAGCTTAACTCTAAATCCCCCTTCAAATATTTTAACTGTGTTGAAGGTCAAATAATAGAATGAAAGTACCATTAAATAATGTATTTTAAATATTTGTATTATATTTATCAAAATAATACCTCGTAACATTTCAGTGACACTAGTATATTTCTATAACATGTTACGTCATAGGTTTTTGAATGCTTAAATTAGTACTACCTCAACATATATTAGAATCT